AAAACCATGGTCCAGATATGGCTTATTTATAAACCAATTCAAACGAATGAGAACTACAGTAAACATGGTCTAAATACCAAATTATGAAAATATCTTTAAACGTGGACTTTGATATAAGATAATGTTTGGTGTGTGAAACTGTATTAACTTAAAATCATGTCTGCACAAATATATTAGGCGGTTAATATATATTAGGTAGTTTTTTTAATTATTTTCCATTCCTCAAGACAGACCTGACGTTTGACGCCAATGAAAAATTGCTGCAACACGGCCTCCACCTAGTGGTCATAAATGGTAACTTCATAAACCATTCGACAAACAACAACGATCTACTGTCAACTGCGTCTTTAAGTATTTTTATGGCGGCAGTGAAATGCAGTACCAAGTTTGTGTAAATACAAAACAATCCTTCGATTTACATTTGAAATATTGTGTGAAAAAAACTGTAAGGATTAAAGCATTAACATTAGAAAACAGTCAAGAGAATATTATTTATCCATTAAAGAACACACCACTGTCAACTACTTGAATGGCAATGCTGCTTCCCGAAATATCCATCCATCCATCCATTTTCATCCGCTTATCCGTTACCGGGTCGCGGGGGCAGCAGTCGCCCCCCAAATCACATTGCACCGTACCAACCCCCCAAACCTTCCTGCGGGTGGTGACTCCACTGGAAGGTACCAACCGCCCTAACCGGGATTCGAACTTGCCTAGGAGGTGAACCCTGGGGTTCCACACCAATGACAGAGACATTGACTCTGGGCCAAAGCGCCACCTTCCCGAAATAAAAAAAACAAAAACAATGTTTATATATTTTGCACCAACATCTTTACTTTATTTAAATAAACATTCAAGTTCTCAGGACAAATATGCACCAGTGCAAAAGTGGAAAATAAAACTGACACAAAGACACACACACACCCTAGAAAGACACTTGACAGACAAAACACGTGACAGACAAATAAAAAAGACGAGTTTCAAGTATAATCAACACTAATAGACAGCACAAAGCAACAACAGAATTATTGTTTTTTTTCTTAAATTTCAGTTGTCAACTGAACTTTTCTCACAGCATGAAAAGTAAAGAGTGATGTAAACTGCGTACATCAGCTCTTCTCCGTGGGAAATAGTCGTGAAATAGTCGTCTTTGTCAGTATTCTTTTCCTTTTGCAAAAACAGCAGTAGAACAACCCAGTAAAACAATTTGGCCCTTTACATTCAGGTAGCACCAGAAAAACAGGTTTTTGTTTTCCATCATCATTTTGCATCTGAGTTGTCTGCACGTTCCAATATTCTCTGCAGCTCCTTAACACAAGGAACAATGGAGTGGCTGTGTAGCTGAGCGATCTTCAACCTGGAAAAAGCGGAAGAAACAACAAATAGTATTTTAACAAGCTGTGGTTGGAACACTAAAAGTTGATTATAACCCTAATAAAATATAGTAGTATCCCTATGACATGGTCTTTAACAACAGGTAATTACCATTGATAAAATTTATTTTGAGCACATTCACAATTATAGTGACTTTCAACAAATGATAACATGTTTTGAAGCATTAAAATGATTATAAAATATCCAACACAGTACACAAACAAACTGTGTGCATACTGGAATCTTGAATACATGTCATTTCCATGCAGTGCGCGACACATCATAACTCTTTCACCTTCTGAGAAGCTCTTGACCTCTGCTGGGCTCAGGTTGGTAGTGCTGGAGTGCCGTAAGGCACTGAGCTGCCAGAACGCTGTAACACTGTTCCTTCACGGCGTTATGGTTGACCGTATCCCACTGGGGCAGCTCGCTGGTGTAACGCCATGCCATGAGTGCGTGCTGCAGCACGGCGTCCCACTCCTGGTTCCTCAGAAGAACTTGGCCCCACTCCTCACACGACACCTGACGATGCAGGAGCAGGAGGTCAGTTTTGTGTGATGCATAAGTATTAAACGCCTTCATCACAAATTTCGACACCACCAAGACTTACTTTGAATGCCAACAGGTGAGGGTACGCCTTCCTGTAACAGTGGGCATCCCTGTTGGAGCCAAAACGCGAATATGGAATGGACCTGTAAATGTTTGTCTTCTTCTGCTGCAAGTCCTCCTGGAGGAATTTCATCCCTGAAGCCATGTTTCTGGACTCCTGTCTCTATTGAATATGATCAACAACATAATAATGGTCAATTGGCTTGAATGGAAAAAGAAAATAAACCCCTCCTTTAGTTGATGTACAATAAACATCATGAACCTGTACCTGCTCCACTGAGATGAGTGACTTGATTAAAAGTACCAGCTGCTGTTTGGACAGTGGGGTGTGGTGCTCACTACACTGCTCCTCTACTCTCTTATGCCACGCTTCGTCAGCAGGCAAGTTCACTGCAGAATAAAAGTTGTGGTTAGAAATATAAACAACAGTCAAACAGTTTGATGTCAGCTTGAAAACAAAAAATTAAATGCTCCATCATTACATTAACGGGTGAATTAATAATAGGCATTGCATATTAAAGAATTTCCAGGTCATTACTTTTAGACAATTTGTACATTTTTTCCTATGTTAACCTGAACCAAACTTGGGGACAAACTGCATAACTGAATTACCCTGGAAGTGGTACACTTTTTTTAAATCATGTTCGTAACATATGACAAAGATCCTCTAAATTTTAGAGGATCTTTGTCTTTAGAGTCTAAAACATAACATAATGCAATTCTATAACTTATTTACAGGTTAAAAACTAATCTTGTAAGGTTAAAGGTCATTGGCAGGATGACTGTGTTACTTACGCTGCTGCATAGACTTTATGTTTGATGGTGCTATTCTCCGCCTGGCAAGTGGACAAGGAGCCAAGCGTGCACTCAGGATCTCCTGGTAGGACCTCCTCATTGGAGCTGTAAAAATGGACCAAATAATACTAAATTAATGATGCTTTCACAGAATTTCTAAAGGAAACGTTCTTATAACCTATGATTCCTGCCCCTGCCAGGTGCAAGTTCTAACAACCTGCACCAAAATGTGGAGATATAATAAATGTAATAACTTTCTGTGACCATGTGAAAAACATGGAAACATAACTGTCAGGAAATGCTTCAGTAGAGTCAAAATTCGAAGTAACTGTTACAGACGTTACTTTTAAGAACAAGTGCACCATCTTTCATTGACTTCAGCGGGTACTGCATGTGGCTCCAGTTTCTATTAACAGTTTTTAATCACAATTACTGCTTCTGATACTTCCGTTATGTGTTTTATTTTAACAATAAATTGATACAGTGACGTCGTCAAAATGTTTTTACAAAATGTTTACCAACAGATGCATTACCCCCTGCCCCCTCTTCGTAGTCGGGGGCTAGGGTATTAGCCAAATAACAAAGCAGCGAACTCTGTCAAAAGACACACAAACACTAATGAACTTTTTTTAAAAATGTACTTTTCTTCAAACTCACCTGGAATCTTAGGCTGCGGAGCAGGTATTTCCACCAGGGCTCGTCGTGGCTGACACACAGCTGCCATTGTTGTTCGCAGAACTTTAACCCTCCACCAGAAGAAGACAGAGGAGAACTTTACCTCCACCGAGCCGGGAATCCACTTCAGCTGCAACGGGGATCCTCCTCGGACTACCTGCAGTTTATTTCAGCCACGTCACCACTTTAACCAAGTACACTCACACTTACTCTGGTGATTAAATAAATTGCAGAGAGTAAAAAGGGACTCTTGTCTGCAACTTCAGCCTGCACGACCACAATGCTGATGAAGAGGCGCGCCACAAGAGTTACCGCGCGGGCGGGGTTACTCCGGAGGCTTTGATCTGATTGGTCGACGTCACGTAAAACGTTAAAGAGGCGCCCAATATGCAAATACATGACACCGCCCTCTGCTGGGCTTTGATAGAAAGGCAACACAAACAAATGGAAGTAGTTAATAAAAAAAATGAATTCAAACCTATGGAATGTATAAAAATGTATAAAAATAAATAAATAAATATGAATAAATAAATAAAAAGGTTACAGTAGTTTAATTAAACCACTGTTTGACATTAAAGGCAGATTCCCAACAGTGGAAAATGTTCTAATTTCTTTGGTCTAAAACTGAATATTTATATATCTTTACATATACTTTTTGGTATATTTCAGTTTGATTGTGTTCTGAGGGATTTTTGAATACCTAATATGTGCTGTGCCTAAAAAAAGGTTAGGAAACATTTAATCAAACTAACACTGTGCCCAGTGCAATAATGGGTTTAAAAAACAATATCATTAAATTAGGCTAGTTTTGTATGTTAAATAACCTCCGTAATCTATAACCAAACCAATGAGTTAATTATCTTAATGTGAAACTATGGAGCCACCAGTGCTGGTCTTTTATAGGCGATACATTAACCTAAGACACCTTAATGAAAGAAAGTAACAAAGTAGACAAAAGTATTTGCAAAACCTTTTAATAGGTTTGTGAAATATGAAAAAGAAAATATGTCATCACTGCAATATTGATACATGTGAGAAAAATGATGCATTTATTTGAAAACAGATGAAAAAGTATTAGAAAGAGAAATATTGAATGTGACAACCTGGAAAATTAGATCTAGGTGTTGTAATAAATTAATCTGCGTACACAACAGAGCAGACGTTATAGATGATAAAATATATAGCAGTGAGAAATGCAGTGCAACGTCTTTATCCCTGTATTTCCACCATGTCCTACAGATATATATATAGTTAGATATAAACAAATTATTTTTCTTTCAAAGCATCTGTATTTAATAACTCCATTAAATGCCATTTAAATTTCTGCATGTATCTTTAATTACTTTAAATGATAATTATCTATGTCAAAGCTGCACTTTGATTTAACTGAGTTAACTCCCATATTAATATAAATTATCTAAAAAGCAGAATATCTATTGGCCTTATGAAAAATGCTACAGCAGTTATAATTTAATATATGTACAATAGAAACAGTTTATAACTTACATAAAGCACAGGTAAAAGTGTATTCATAGGTGACATTTAATATCACAAATATCTGTGAGTTTATGGCTTTGTAAAATATGTCATTCTTTTCAGAAAGAGCAAATGCAGTCAGATCGAACCGCCTAACCAGCATCTAATACACACATTTTAGAGTATTATGCATTATTAGTAATAAATACACGTATATCATACAGGTATATCAATAAGCCATGTACAGTTGAGATATACATTGAGATATTGTGATATGGAGAATATCCAGAGGTAATACAACCAATATGCTTTTAACAAGATACTTAAAGACAGACTGCCACCGACTTTATAGGCCACACTACAGAGCAGGAGTAGGAGTAGCCTCTACTTGCTGAGCAGCGTTTTAAGGGAGCGGGTGAGTGTATTAGCAATGGCGGACATGGTACTGGAGTGACGGACCAGGGCTTTCATGCTGTGCTCCCCTGGTGCTCCCACCGTGGCTGCCTCAGCTGCCTTCAGCAGACAGATATAGTTCATAACAACCTCATCCACTTTTGCAACGACTTCCCTCTGCTGGTGTGGAGCTGAGGCTCCAAACCCTCGAACCAGACACATGCAGGCCTCACCTAGACAGCACAAAACCTGGAAGCTACACGTCACAGCTAGCAGCATCTCCTCTGGGCTGCTGTGAGCCTGGGCCATCCTCCGACAAGCTCGGCCCAGTTCTTTTGACTCCACAGACAGAAGTTGCTTGTACTGTGACACATCCTGGAGGGGCATTTGTGGACCACGATCGCAGCGACCTACGCTGGATCTCACCAGTGCAATGAGCTCACTGGCATCACGGCGGACATCTGTGAATCCAGATGGAAAGCTATACATGCGGTCTTTGAGAGTATTAATCCGTGCAAGACGGTCACTGAAGCTCATGTTACTGAGGACCTCCCTGTATAGCTTCTCGCCAGCTCCTTCTACTGTTGAACCACAGGACCTCATGGTTGAAGAAGTCACACCTTCCATTTCAATGTTAATATCATCACAGCTTTTCCTGGGTCTCTCCCACTCAATCTCATCCTCTTCACCCTCACTCTTATGTTTAAAGAAACAATAACTAAAAGGGCCATTGCATCTCCAGGGACTAGTATCCAGTTTTTGAGAACTTTTTATGTGTTTTAGGTCTTTTTGCAGTGGAAATACCACTGATGCCCTTCTACCATCTAATCTACTGCCCATGGACCAGCAGGTGGTGTTGGAGGACACGGAACCTTGGGAATAACTCTTGGAAAGACGCTTTCTTGTCGGCCTCTTTTGGCCTTTAGTGTCAACTTGCTGGGGTCCAGATGGCAGCAAGGGCTGTTGACTTCGGCTTCGGGTGAGCTTATCAAAAAGAACCTCCACACTGCCAGAACTTGTTGTGACATTGCTGGAGCTGCGCTTGAGTTCCCGTCCTCTGGGCAAGCTGTTGCCAATAGTGTCTGTCTGGGGCAGCGTAGAGGTAACACTCTGCATGTGGTTCTGATTCTGTTGGGACTGCATAGTATGGATGGAATTTTGTGTAAGCCCTACATTGCTGGAGCTTGTCTTAGTTTGAACAGGTGGAGGTGGTGGAGGAGGTGGAGGAACTTGACCTTGTAAGTTGGGAGCTGGAGATGTACTACAATTTCTGCTAGAAGAAGATATCTGCCTGGTAGAAGCTGATGGGTTTTCAGCTCTTCCTATTGAGGTGCTGTTGAGTTCTGCTTGTTGACCACTCACACTGTGTTCAAGTGAGAAACACAGAGAGTCTTCTGGGCGATGATTAGGAGATTGACAAACCCCATGTTTTGTCCTTGGCTCTGCTTTCAAACAGTCTTCTAAAATGCCACCAGGTTGACTCTTTGACCGCCGAGGGCTACGGTAAGAGTTAGCACCAACATTATGGCTTCCAGCTGGGATGAATTCCCCATTGTGACTAATAGAGTTTTGCTCACCTTCAAGACCAGAAAAAGAGCCCCTCCTGTATGTTGTGGCTGCCCTGAAAGCTAGGTCTTCAATTGGTCTTTTGTGATCTAGCATGTCAGGACTTCTCTTAAGTTTGGCAGGAAGTGTGACTGAATGGTAAGATCCTGCATTTTTATTTACTAGTTTTGTGTTCGCAGTATTAGAATTTGGGCTGTAGAATGGAGAAGACGTGGCAGAGGGCATGCATGTGCAGCGGGCGATGGTGTTGCTCTTATTCTTAACCAACTCTGCCAAGTGAGGGTTGCTCGTGATGAGGCGTCTTGTGTCCTTTTTCATGGAGCCAGAACTGTGCAGCTTCCCTGCCTGATGCATCTGACTAACTGTTAAATAGTTGATTAGTTGTCTGTAGGCATCACTGCCTTCCTTCTTGTTCGATCCTTTTAAACTGGTCTGTTGTTTAACCTGCAAATCACTCTGGAGCTTCTTGTTTTCAACACTTGCATTATCCCTATGCCTTGATGGTTTGTGTGGGATGATTTTGCCTGGTTCTCCTCCAGCGGGAGGTGGGTACAGGTTGGGCAGCATCTTCCAAAGAAGAACAGGATCAGCATGTGGGTGAAAATCTTTTCCCTGCATGTTCTTCCCAGTGATGCTGTAAGGAATTCCTGGTTTGCTTTCTTCATTTCTCCGGAGTAATGATGAGGAAGAACTGGAAATTACATGTCGGTGACACTGTTGAGGTCTCGACTCTGCAGCAGTTTGGCCAGGTGGTGAATCATTGAGGGTTGCACAAGCACTGCTGTTAGTGCTGCCACCAGCATCTAGTGATGAGCACACAGAACCCTGTAGTGAACTTTGGGCTTCTCCTTGCAAATTTGAAATCCTTTTGGCAAGGTGATACTCACACAACCGTGCTACACTTTGCTGTCTAGACATCGGTTGATGGTCATTTTGTCTCTGACAGCCTTCACCTCTAGATTTGTTGGTTGGTGAGACCAGTGATGCTACAACTAGGTGTTCTTCTTGCTCACTTGACACAACTTCATTATCTGCTGCACAGTTTTCACTGTTCAAGTTTACACTGTCCAAGCGGCTGTTGGAAGTAGAGGAAGAAGGAGAGGGAATTCTATGATGGTCAACAGAAAAACATTTAGCTCCAGAATTTGCAGTTTTAAAGGGATTCTGTCTTCCTTGACTTTCTCCTCTTTCATAGTACAGAGTATGACGGTCTAAGCCCAGGTGGCTACCACTGTGGTCTGTTGCTCCACGCTGCCCTTCACGCGTGCTGAAGGTGTTGTACTTCCCACGGGAGTCTGCAGACTTTCTGTAATGCTTACCCCCTGGTGTGGTGGATTTTGGACGTTGAAGAGTAGATGAGAGGTTTGTCCTGGATCCTGTGCTAAGGCTGTTCTGCCTTGATGTTGTCGGATCCAACTGGAGGGTCTGCCTTGAAGGAATTGCTGGAGGCTGACGGTGCCTTGTTGGACTGAAGCTGTTGTGTTGTGTCGTTCCTCCTGTTCCAGGTGAGACAGGAAACTCAGTTTTTTCCTCAAGCAAAGGTTGGTATCCTTCCCTTGTGGCGACCAGAAGACGCAGATGGCTTTCGCCGAATCTGTGAGAAGCAGCCATTTCAGAGATTTCTGTAATCTCTGAGGAGTTAGTCTCATTTCCAGAATCTGAGGACGATCCTGGGCTAAAGCCTCGAGCTGAGAAAACACCTACAATATTAAAGATAAAAAGTTACAAGTCTGTAAACTCAATTTAAAAAACATTACCATGATAAATGTTACAAACAAAGATTATTAGTTAAACAGAAAAGGTGATGATGAAAATGAACAAACCTGAATTTCTACTAGTAGGTGGTGGAGGAGGTATCTGTTCAGAAACAGACAGGGCCTCCAGTGCCTGTAGAGTGTTCATGGCTGAATTCTCCAGCCTTCTCTCCCCTCCCCTTGATCCTTCCCCTTGTGTTGCGATGGCATCAACCAATGTTACAGGGATATCAACAGTGCCTCGCTGCTTTCCCTCAGATGTCATGTCCTCATCTGAACAGTCTCTAAAACCCGGAGGCGGTGCTGCGATGGCCAGGTTGAGTGTCTCAAGCAGTGCGTCATCTTCCTCTTCGTCCACACCGTCGTCTCCCTCAGGAGGAGGCAGAGATGTCAGGTCGATAATGTCATCCGTGGAACCGGAAAGTGTGAGGAAGGTGGTCTTGCCAACAGCAGTGGGCAGCACTCCTTCGTGTGGAGTGTAGTCTCCAATGATTCTGTCCTCACCCACTGGTGTTCCACCAGTTGAGTCTTCCTCGCAAGAAGCCTCATCATCATCCTCTGCATCATCTGTCGTGTCCCGATACAACAGATCCCTTAACAGTAGCTCCTCACCACCTTCCTCACTTATTATGTTACTATAAACATGCGTCAGACCAGTGAACTGCATGGGCACCTCGTTACAGACTGTGTTGTTGTGCAAATATGGGGGTTTAGTCTCAGAACCCTCTGGGCTCTCTAACAGTCTTTCATAGCCAAGTTTCTTGGGCCTATTCAGAGGTTGGTCTCCTCCTCCAAAAATAAAAGACACTTTTGCAGTCCGTGGGGAGTCTTGGGGTTTGTGTCTGGTTGCAGGAGGAAGAGGAGGCGGCAATGAACCTCTCTGGATGCCAGGGTCTCTGTTGTTAGTCTCTTTTTCCCAGGATTCTGGATACGCTGAGTTCCTGTTGTTGATCTCTTCTTGGCTGAGTACATGCTCCACATTTTCCCCCAAAGATCTGTTGTAGGGCCACTCCAGGACCGGCTCTTCACCTGAAAAGTGTTTTACACTTTAATGGTGGAGAATACTGCTATGTTATTTTTTGTAAACATGCTCACTGTAAAAAAAAAGCGCTGTATATTGATTCAAAAGACCTGGTGCTATAATTTTTACACACAAATCTAAAAATCACTCACTGCTCTCCTCCCCTCCAGGACTGTTGCAGTGAGCCACGTTGAAGATTGATCTCCTAGCGTCCACAAGGAGGCGATAATAGCCTGCTGTAAGGCAGGCCAGGTTCATTGCATCGCTTGACTCCATGATGAGAGTAATGGGCTGGAAAACAGGACAGCAGAGAATATGATTAACGACAAAAGAAGTGAGAGAAAGACAATAAGGTTTGGTGGTGTCAGGCATTGATACGCTCACCCTGACATCCAGAACATGTAACTCCAGTCGGACGTTGGTCTCATCCTCAGTCAGGATCTCAATGCGGTTTACGTGGCTGAAATCAGCCAGCAGAGCCACCAGGTTAGTACGGACATTGATGACATGGCTGATCCCATAGCGTGGACCCACGAGCAGCGTCACATCTGTCTGCCTCTCTCCTTGCTGCAGAACAAAAAAAAATGAATGAAGTGATCAGTCAGAATCTTATAATTTGAGCAATTCTTTCTAAAAACTGATGCTCTTACCAACAGTATGGACTTGAACTCCCTCCCTCCATACAGTCTGAGTTCACTAAGGTACCTCAGGTAATGCACCTTGGCCTGCAGAGCAGTCAGCTGCCCAGGGGGAAGTGAAAGACATTAGTAGGCGTTTGAAATGAAATCTCTCCAACCTTAGCAGAAGCATTCGTCTTCTAATGTCAGGATGTGAAGCAGTCTCCAGCCACTTTGCTGTGGACCACTGGGTTTCCATTATATCCCTACTTATGATTTAAATCAAATCAATCTCTGAATGAAGAGCTGCTCTGCCTTTGCTGCTGCACTTTTACAGTTCCAACGCAGAAGCATAAAAGTACATTTGCTTGCACCTCAGTAAAGGTTTTCTTACTTCTCAACTCTTGTTAGGTTGCGAGACTAATTCATCACAGGACTGAGAAGGCCTTTATGGGGGAAGTTGATTAGGAACATCTGTGTTTTGATTTGCGTCCTGGTTAATCAGTGCAGCTAGGCTGCTTCATTTAGCAGCGTGTATAAATAGCGTATAAAAAGTAGATCAATATCCTTGACAGAGACACTGATATTACGTTAACCTCAATTATTTGCTCACTGGAGTTCATGCTGCATCTCAGCTAGATCGTGTCTAATACAATGCTGTACGCCTGGGAGACAGCAGTTCATTCTAAACAGCAGCTGCTTACGGCGGATTTCCGACCTGTGCGTCCTCCGTCTGTATTCACAGGGAGGAGGAATACTTCCTCCAGGCAGTGCACATGTGTGACAGAATTAGATGTGACAAGCCTTCATTTACACTACAGAGACATTTAATATGTCCTTGACTTGAAGTAATCATTTCTTGATTTTGTAAATAAAACACATGGGATTTTAGAAACAAGGAGAATTTATCTGGGTACAGAATATGAAAACTACAGATAATATACTGGAGCCAACTTTTCTATCACTTATTGAGAGTGGTGATATATCACACCTGTATCCATATCTATCATCTCTGAGATGCTAGATTCCATTTTGTCACACAGTACATACATAGTGTTCGTACTCATCTCAGTGTCTTTAAAGTATTTGGTGTGAATTATAGCAACATTTCTAACTTCATTATATTACAAATATGGAGCATTTGAGACTGAACAAAAACAAATGCAGTCCCTTGTACATCCCACAAGGGGGAAACTGGCGGCATGAGTCTTTGCGACCCACACATCTAGTATGTGATCCCACTGGGATATGAACCCAGGACCCGCTGCATGTAAAGCAAGTATGATAACCACTACACTATGGAACAAATAACAGTTACAGCATGGAACCATTGTAGACTATTTAATAAGTAAATGCCGCAAACACTGATGACAATAACATTGTTTTGTTGTTAAATGTGATTTGAATTGTTTAACCAGTTAGTTTAATGTAGTCTGTTTTAACTTTTTATGACGCTGCCCTGGTCAAATACAAATAAAAATAGATCACCATATCTTACTAAATATTTATTGTTAATTCCTCCTGTAAAGCTGTATATTTTTATTTTAATATGTGTTTTATATTTTGCAGTAAATTGGTATTGGTTCTTTTCTTTTTGCATTTAAAAGGTCTTTTTACATTTCTCCCTTTGTCGCAGTAGTACAACCATTTCCCCAGAGTGAGATCAATAAAGTTCAATCTAATCTAATCTGACATTTGTACACTCGGTGCCCAAATTGTAAAAAAAAAAAGAAAAAAGACAAGGATTGAGATTCAGTGGTATTCTTGCCTTACTCAGAACTTTTCTAATTTTCTATTTAAGAATAACACATTTGTAAGTCAGTTAATTATGGGCAAACACATTAGGGTCTTTGAGTTAAAAGCTACAAGTAATACCTTTGTCTTTGTGAACTAAGTAAAGTTCAAGTGAGTAAAAACTGTGCCCGACGTGGACGCGAATGTGTGCAAATATAAATATCTCATTGTTGATGCACACAGTTTGATAATGTTTGTTATTCATGTCAACACTCAAGGTCTGGCACAACCCAGGGTCTGAGGTTGACAAGGGCAAGAACCTTCGCAACGCTGAGCCCGTCAGCGGGGCTATTTTAAGGCACTGCGTCAGGAAACAAAGTGATTGGGTTCTTGTGGGTGTTTGGGTGCGTGTGTGTGTTTGTCAGACGTTAATTAGCAAAGGCAAACAAAGACATTCAAAGAAAGCTGCATACTTTTTTCCCCGGGGGCACCAGGTTCTGGTTGGTTTTGAGGATGTGTGTCAGGGCCTTTTTGATGTTTTTCTCCTTCATGGTAGACAGAACAGCCGGGGGGAGAAACAGGGGCAGACCCCACTCCTTTCTGAAGAGAGCAGATTGATTATTTATTTATTTATTATTACTTATGAATCAGATGATCGATAAAGAATAATTCTCTTCTATGCTACAACTAACTAAAAACTTTTTTTTCAAACCCTCAGAACCTCCTTTGGTTATGGACCTCACACACTTACTGGATGTATTTAAGGGATACTTTTTGGTCCTGTCTAGTTGTCACGGTGAGGATATACATCTGCAGAGCAGCCAATCGCAGTGCGGCATCGTACTTCAGCTCCGGGCCAAACCGTTCCAACACCACATCATTACAACTCTAGAGAAGAGAACAGGAGGTAAATTTTGACAAATTAATTCCCAATAAAATCATCGCAAAATGAATTGCATTTTAATCAACAGTTTATCCTGGCAGTGATTAAATAACCTCTTTGTTATTTAAGAGAGACTGGGGTCTAAATGACAAGCAAAATATAAGTTTACACAACAAATGACCATGGATTCCAAAGGTAGAAAAAATTATTTATGGGGTTACACTACGTAAGCTGCACTTAAAGAATTTACTCTGTTCTGCTTAAAGAAATTACATAAAATAACCAAATATCATAATGTACTTTGACACTAATACTGTGATACACACTAAATACTTTGCTCACCTGTACGTAGAGGTATTCAAATGCCACAGCGTCACGCCTGAGCAGCTCCACCGGGTCTCTGGGAACAAAGCTAATTCTGAAGAAACACTTCATCTTGTCAGAGCCGGGCCTTTGGGTCACCTGGAGGTGGGGAGGTGGAGGTGGGGAGGTGGGGAGGTGGGGTGATTTGGGAGCAGCAGATGGTTAAAGACACAAGGGAGGGAAAAAAGAAGGCAAAGTTAAGAAAAAAAAACAATGATTCAGTGTCATATAAAAATATATAAAAAGGTCTGTCAATGTGATGAATATTTCAATCCAACTATGATTCAGTCTGTATACGACTGTCTTTTGCTAAGAAATCATATGTTTCCTCTCTAAATTTACAACCTTAATCTTAAAATTTATGTATTTATTCTCATAACATTACAAGTTATTTTCATAAAATTACAACTTTTTTCTCATAAATGAGCATTTCTAGTAACGTTATCACTTTTTTGATAAAATCTGATAAAATTACTTTTATTTTTTTATTTTTTCTTCTCTTTAGGTTTCGACTTTAATCACATCACATCAAGTTTAGCAGTTTGGCTCTAGATAAAGTTCAACAACATGAATAAACACATTTGAGTTTCAGTTTGAGTTTATCATTGTTTTTATATATTTACATTATTTCTTTAATCACCTCACATCACAAAACCACATTTTACTGCTTTTGACCTCTAAAAATGATGGTTAAATGGTGTCATCACCATCATATATAAGGAAGTTGTGAGCATAGTATTATAAGCCTGTCAGGACACACAGTCTATAGCTGTAAGAGTGACCTGCAGCCGTGCGACAGTGTATGTTTTATAAACATGTGGGAGGAGAAAGTTCATCTGCCACGGTGGCTGGAGCGGCGCCACAAATGTGTGTTATGAATATCAAAACAGTCCTTGTGCGATCCTGCTATCTCATTAGAATGGAGCAGACAAGGCATGTGTGTGAATGTGTGTGTATGTGTGAGTCTATGTGGGAGGATAGGTGTAATGCGAGCTGTCGTCCCTGCTGTGCGGCCGCTGATAAATTGCCACGACGTTGCTCGAATGCAGAGCAGGGTTGTGCATGTTTTTATGTCAGTTGGAAAAAGGATGCAACCAAACAGGGTGAAGGAAGCCTACGTAAAAGGAAACATCGATCACCTGAGTAAGCATTTCCTGTTCATGCAGCAGAAGCAGTTTGCTTCCGGCGGTGTCCGTTCTCTGCTCCACCATGAGGGAAAAGTGTTCTATGCATCTGATCGACAGCTTCTCCTGCAGGGTCAGGAGCACGTCCTGAGAGGAAACCAGAACATGTTGATTAAAAGTGGCGTTGGATGTCAGATTATGGTAACACTAGATTAACAGGTCTTAATCCATAGAGGAATAATAACGAAAATGAGTTGTGGATAATAACGTAACACAGCAATGAACAGCACAGGACTGGTTTCTCTTTTTGTCTTTCGAGACCAAGTTGCAAAAGAACTGAGGGAACACATAATCTCAGTTAAATTGTTTGAAAGTTTTATCAGTTTAAAACGGTGACGGTTTCTACTACGCCACAGACGTCGAGCTGCGTATGCACCTTGATGGAGGTGCTGCTGTCAAAGCGAAACGACTTGGTCTGCCCGTTCTCCAGGTAAACCTTCAGAACACTGGGCATGAACAGCAGGGAGTTGTCCTTCACTGGGTTCTGCAAAAACAAAGAATGGATGGACTTCACATGTCTGTCGTAAAGAAATTATCCTTTTCACAGAAACAGATTTCAACACAAACACAACAGTGAATGAATTATTCTTCTGTCACTCTGAGCTGTGGTATGAGGTAAGTGTCGGCCACCTGTCACTGTAAATATGATTTATAGAAACGGAGGATGTAGAGTGTGTGTCAGGGCACTCTGCTGGACTCACAGGGACTTGTCCGTTTATGATGACCTCCTCCGCAAAGCGCACTTTGACCGGATTGGACTTGAGCATTGCTTTTTTGGCTGCACTGATAAAGGCCGACTTAGGAGACTGGGTGGCAGATAACCAGAAAAGAGACGGAGAGAAAAAAGAGAGAGAGGGAGAGAAGGGAGGAGGAAATGGCGGAAGAAAGAGACGGACAGATGGAGGGAAGGAGATAAAAAGAAACATCAACACATGGTCCAACAGATTCCTCCACATTAGTGCCATCATCAATTAAAACTTCTTCACAGCCACATTGCATTTTACCCAAAAAATGGAAAAGGACAAACAGGAGGATGTGAGCAAAATAAACAGCAAGGTAGAAAAAAAAGTTCAACAAAATAAATTCAAATGCTGTTGTTCCGAGGAATCTATCTTCTCAGTGATATTTTTAATGATTTTTTTTTCTTTTCAAAAAGGACAAATGGAATATGAAATGGTTTTCAAGGGCAGACAGTTTGAGTCCTGCCAGTGAGATAATGCAATTTCGTCCAAACAGATGATCTACTCACAGGGTATGGCTGCACCACAGTCAACATGATGGTCTCTTTGCAGCTCCTGAAACAGCAAACACACCACAAATCACAGAGCGCTTGAAAATCACAAGTGTATAAGTGCATAATATAATATAATATAATATAATATAATATAATATAATATAATATAATTGTTTTTCTGTATTTTTCTGTATTTACACCTATTGCCCATTTACATCAGACTGAACTCAAAATCCAAGGAGAGGAGAGCTGTAAAACTCAAAGAACAACCTCCCCACAGTGACACTGAGAGGAGCCTATGACAACAAGTGAATATAGTGAAACATGCTATGATGTTGTTTGTACCTACCTGACCAGGTCAATGACTCGTTCTCTAGGAGCTGAGCTGACAGGTTCATCGTAAATCATGATGATTTCGTCACCCGGCAACAGCTTCCCCTCAGACGGGCCGCCTGTAACACACACACAAACACGCAAATAAGGCAGCGCTGATCAAAGACACAGCTGTGTCTAAATGAGTCAGTCTCAATGAGCATGTGTGGAACCAGCACATTCATTAGTTCCGTCGCCCGCATCGAGCCCAGTGTTGATTGATTATTGATAAGACTAATCAGTGTCTCTGTGCAGTCACTGATGGCTGACGGCTGTGATGGATGGAAGCAGCAGTTTGGCACTAATTTGGTAATCAGCCAGTTAACCAGAGTCAACAACACGATGAAGGGCAAAAACAAATAACTGGCGTTTATTTCATGTGTCATCAACGATTGTAAAATTAGGGAGAAGACTCGACAGTTCACACGGCTCTCTGCAATGATTGACACTTCAGGTATCAGAGAGGCAAACATACAAATACAATTCTAAAATTTGTAAACAATTTACCGTATTTTCTGAGTTATATGTCGCACCAGCCATAAAATGCATAACTAAGAAGAAAATAACATGTATGTCGCAACACAGTACAAGTTAATTTTCAGTGGTACAGGAGCAACAGATACTACCACACAATCCTTGAGTGCCCTTTAGCAGCTGTCAGTGTGAACATAACAAACGAAATTATATATTTTAATATAAGTTGCACCTGAATATAAGTCACACTAGTGCCCTCTCGTGGCTGTCAGTGTGAAAATAACGAACTTGTAATTTTTTTTAGTGGTACAGGAGTAGCAGATATAGGTACCCAAGCCTAGAGTGCCCTCTAGGGGCTGTCAGTGTGAACATAACGAACGTGAAATTATATATTTCGCAAGTGAGTATAAGTCGCAAACCCAGCCAAAGAATAAAAAATAATAATACAACCTATAGTCCTGAAAATACAGTAGTACAAATTCAAATTCTCATATCTCATTTGAACAAAAATATATTCCAAATGTGGAACTACCTGGAGTAACTGAACGGACCACAACTGGTTTCTCGCTTCCTGCCACAAAGCCAAAGCCCAGGACTGGGTCTCGCCTCATCTCAATCAGACGGGGAGCAGGAGGAACCATGTCCTGGTGAACCTCCTCCAGAGAACTGCTCTGGGACACTTGACTGAAAAAAAGATGACACAAAAATGTAAAAGTGTCCATACATATGTACACAGTGACTATAAATGTTCAATTGTTTGTTGTTGTTGGTAAATTATAATTTTAAATGAATAATTATTACATTTTTTTCTCGTTCACTTTTATGCTTATCCGCCCTTGGCTTTCATACACAGATGTTTCTCCCTGACATCTTTAACGTGATCACTGACTGATGATCTGATGTCTTGAGAGTTGTTGTACATGCTCTTCAATTGGATGTTACTTCACTAAATACTAAATGTACCTATCTTGGATGTCTTCACTAAATACTAAATGTACCTATCTTTAAATATTTCACCAATCTTTCTGTCAGTAGTGTTGTATGTAAAATAACATTATGAAACAATTAATCACTAATAATTTTGAAAAATCAAATGTATTATTATTGTTATCATGACATCACAGCAGGTTTGTAGAAATGTTTCACACCTATTGTTTATCAGCTGGTGGATTTTAGTCATTACTGTGTATTTTAATTGTGGATTGTAGAAACACCACTGGGTCATTTTCAATGGCAGTTTCACAAATTAATTAAATTGATTAATTAATTAATAAATAATTTCAACAGCCCCATTTTTTTTTTGTTGTTTTTTTAAGAATTGAAAACAATAGAATGACCTTGACGTTTGTAGACTGTTGAAACTGAGTGAAAATAATTTGCCATCACTCAAACCATTTAGAAATGTACTGTTAGGCCAGTGATTTTATTTGAAGGAGTAGGGGTTAACACTGGTAATGATTTATACCATCCTATCCCAGCCCTCACTGTGAATCACTTACGATGAGAGCAGCACTAAAGCGTAATGCACCGTATTAGATTACTCTGGGACACGGCGAATGCAGAGTGCCTGTTAATTAAAGGGTGAAATACACTTTCCGTGGGGGTTAACTCGTTCTCCTCTCTTATGTTCCTTCTCTTTCTGCTCCGAGCTCAAAAAGCATCCTTGGCAGCCGCTGCTTCCACCTCAGGATGTCTATTGTTACCTTGCCAGTTTGCTTTTAATTGACTTTCATCTTTGTCTACTTTTACTGTCCATATGGCAGAGTGCATGAGTTTCCTGCTTCATATTTTCTAAACTTTACTTCATTGCTTGCATTATTGCTCGATAAATGAGAAATGTATAGTTAATAAACTCCATGTTTGACTTACGCTGTGAGTTTTTATGGAGTAATTCCACACACACCTGAGGTTTTAAATCCCCCTGGATGAAGAATGTTCCAAACATATGGGGCTGCGACTTTATCTTCAACCAATCCGGATCAGTCTCAAACTCTGCCCCACCTCTCTTTATTTTCTCCCTTTCTCCCTCTGACATTATTGCATTGCTCTGTATTGTACATAAGGCACAGAAATCTCTGAACTAAATCTGTCTGTAATGAAGCATGTTCCAATCTGTGGCGCCGGCTCATCTGCCCTGTCAGGGTCAGAGTGGTTTAATCCCAACACAGGGCAGAGTGTGGACAGGGTCAAATGGAATATAGAACACAGACACTAGGTTTAGGTCTGACCAAATCACGCCTTCAGTGGCCCATGTATTCTGACATTTAAAAATACACCACCCCCCCCCCCCCCCCCCCCAATTTTCTCAGGAACAGAGAACGAATAATAAATTGTTATAATTCCAACTATTTCAATTTTCAAGTCTGCCTGGATACTTTGACAAAGTATGACAGTATATATTTTAGAATTTATACCAAAATTTGAAAGACTCATAAAATGCAATAAAAGATTATTTGGGATTTCAGCAGACAGGAGAGCTTGCAGTGATTGTTTGAAACTTGTCCAAAACACCACTTTGTTTATGTTATTATTAATTTTGTCATTTAAAGAAAAAAACTCCTCCAGTTTCCCTAAAGTCTTAATTTAAACAAAAACAGTTCACAATATTAAATACTCCCGACCTCAATATTTAGAATTTTATGAATAGTGAATTTTAATTGAAACATATTCTATCAGTTTGTCGTTAACATCTCCATGGACCGAACTGTTGGTATGTGACAAAGGAGATGTCAAACCTAGCTCCTGTTTTCTAGATTATTCTTTTATAATTTCACAGTTCATCCAATCATTAGCTTCATATAGTTTTACCCCAATACTCCCTCTCTTTCATTTCCCTCTTTTAACAGAAATTCAAATGTCACACTCAATCTTTTCCAGAACCAGAACTTATCATTTTCTTTATATTCCACTCCATAAATAGCACATAAGAAGCAAAAAGTGGAGAAAAAAAATGAAAAAACACAAGGTGAAGCTTAAAGAGGAGAGAAAGAAAATCAAAGAAACCTTGGTTATAATTCATTACCTATAAAGCAGTACCACCTCATTGTTCATCTGATTTGCATTTGAACAAAAGGACACCGTTTGGGAGTTTAGCTAAGTTAACATGGCAGGAAATGAAAACTGTGAACCAAAAGATTCAAGATGAAGAAGGTTCAGAAAGGATGAGATCATTAAATAAATCAGAAAAGAAGAATTTCCTTTTTCCCTGTTACCTGTTTGCCTTTAAATCAGGCCGTCTGCTGGGTCAATAGAACCTACAAATGTAAATAATAAACTAAACCTGCACTTTTGTCTGCCGTGTTTAAAGAGAGGGAGAACTGTCCTTGGTGAGCACAGGTTATGATCATACATACTTGATGAGGCAGTGAGGCCCCTCCCTGTTGCTGGTCATGCTGTCCCAGCTGTACGGCGGCCCCTGAAGTCCTCCCCATGGACCCAAGGCAGGAGGTGGCCAACCTGAGGCTTTGTTCTTATGACTACAGAGAGAGAGAAAGAAAAAAATAAATACATCATTTTTGGTCGTGTTGTTGTACGTTTGTACCCCCTGAGCTAATGTCTTTTTAATTTCTTTAATTTCTTTTTAATGAAGTCATAAGCCTCTGTATATTTGTGTAAATATACACCCCCCCACCCAGTGTTAGATTATAAAGTTGAATCTTCCCTAATCTAATCTGATCCTAATGAACCAGAGTGTTTATCTTGCTGTGTTTCAAACTGCATGGATGTGACCCTTTGTCTGCATTTTCTCTATTCTGACAAAAACCTGCAGTATTGACAACAGTGCAGTACCTCAAGAAATCATGGGAGGGCAGTCTGCTGAATCTATCAACCAGATGTAAACCACATAAAACAACTTCTTGCGGAGTAAAGAACCACAATGAAACTCAATCCTCCAGCTACACTGACCTCTAGTGGATCATTTGCTCCAAACTGACATATTTATATATATTCATATAATTACTTTATGTCCAAATCAAATATTATTTATTTAAATCCTCCAGGAAAAATGAGACTCAGTTTAGAAAACTCCCCCTTCAAATTCCCGCTGACTAGGGTCTTGTGTTAAGTAGAATTGCTTAGTGGAGTTTGACCAAAGTCCAATACTGGCTGATTAGCTGTGTACAGAGCCAATCAATGGTTGCACACACTGTCACAACCTCTGCAAATCTGTGTGCGTGTACGACTAAGAACAGCTGAAGGCAGCAGGTTCATTCAGTGGGCTAACAATGGGAAATAAGACATGCCATAACAAACAGACTTCTGTGTGACACCTGAGCAAAGGCAACACAACAAACCAACTGAAAAGTGACTTCACGTAAGGATCCATGCATAATCAATATGTAAATATTGAGTCTTTTCTGGTGCACAGCTACAGGGTGTTTGTCAGCGTTCTTCTGCCTCGTGTACTTCATTCACAGTCTATTAGATGTAGAGCTGGATCTGCGACCTTGGCTCCTATGAATGCAAACAGTATTTAAATAAGTGGAACTAAGTAAACGTGCATACTAGATGAGGATGTCATCGCCGTAGGAATCCAGATGGTCTACTCCCACATTCTGCTTTCGGTAATACATCAGTCCTTTATGTCATCGCTAACAGTGCATGGAAATTAAAATGGCCCATTAATGCTCCCATGAACATCAACTGCAAGAGAAAGGACGAAAACAGCTGACATCATGCGTATTTTCATTTCACTCCAAAATGTCACCGTCCCCTGATTCCACTTCATGCGGGTCCTGCGTTTTCCCAAAGAAAAAAAAGAAAGAGCTTTAGAATCTCAGTGAGGGACGTTTGTCTTCATACGCTGGAGTAAGTGGCTGAGCAGAATCCTCAGCGTGGAGCTCCCTGGTCGTCTGTCTTTGTCATCGTGCTTCTGCTCCTGCTGCTGGGATGAGCTTTGGGTCCGAAGTGAACTAAACCACCGTGGCCTTGCCTCCTTTATCCCATAATCCCTCTCATCACAGTGGAAACAAATCCACAGTGTGTGTGTGTTTGTGTGTGACAGAGAGAGAAACAGAGAATGAGTGTCAAACTGGGTGCAACTGTGCGTGTACAAAGGATGTGTGTGTCTGTCTGTATGTGTGCTCTATGCATGTAGTAAGAGGATTTTTTAAGACGAGTAAAAAGGTGGAAACATCACTCCGACTCAGCTCTAAAAGCCTGAAGAGAAAATAGCTTCACCTGCAGCATCAATATTTCACCGTATAATCCTTTTTTTTATCTTCCATCAGAACTTCTTTAAAACTCAAACCAACATCACTGATGGATGTGGTGCAGCTAGCACCTTTTTCCATCCCTGCAGGGGGTGCTAAAAACAAGTTTCATTGCAGAAGTCTGTAATTTTAGTCACCAGTGCTGTTTAACTGTTTTATCTAAAATTAGTTTCGTATTTTTAACAACAACCTTCTACAGAACACACTATTTTTCAGGTTTGTCGTCTTCCTGCCGACTTCAGCAGTCAGTGCCCTCAGGGGCGATTCAATTTATGTTTGTATCTCGGAGTATATGGGTGTATGTAGGTAGGTGAGACTGTTTGAACCAAAGAATAAAAAGTAAATTCAAACATATATATATATATATTCTACCTTACTCAATTCATGGTGTGCTTCACTTGACTTAACAGAACTCCATTTACTTGCATTTAAAAGCAGCAGCAGCAGCAGCAGGATGTCCCACACTCAAGACGCCCTTTGCTGGAAAGGCCACAGTATTGACAGCACACAACCTTCTTCTAGAAAAGTCATCAATTCCTGTTTCTTTTTTAACACTGGTGTGGTCTGAAGACTGTGATTCAAAAGAGAATCATCTTCAGACACCTCCACAAATATGGTCTACTGTGTGGAGTTAGTGACACTGGGAGAATACACTAAGTTGTTCAAAACACTTTTGCTCGTGTCTGTCTCCTTGCATATTGACATAATTCAGATGAAGAACTCTTGATACTTAAGAAATACTCCCTACTCCTTGCATGACATTCTTTTACATGATTCTTTTACATTAGTTAGATTGAATGTGAATCTAACTAATGTTAATATGGATACATTCAAACACATTTACATATTTATTTATGGTTTATATATATATATATACACATATATATATATATATATTATCAGGTTCTCAATAGTATTTCAATTCGCGAAGGTGTTGGTCAGGAGGACAGCGTGAAAACATTTCTGTCCACAAGGGGGCTGACAGAAAATAATTGAGGACCACTGGGCTAACACATCTGATTCAGCACCATGGACAGCTCTTTAGTTTTCTATTTATAATGTACAGAAACCATTTTAACAAATATTTGAACAGTAACCTCACACAGATGCACATCACACCCTGTCAGAGGCGGCTCTAGGTACAAACATCAATCAAACTTGTCCAGTTCACAGTTTGGTGCTCCAGATCAAAGGACACTAAACTCACCTCCAACATAAAGTCTATGAGTGAGCTGCATAAACAATACATCTAGAAAAAGGTTTTGGATCAAAACATTTGCAGTGGTCTGGAACAGAAGCCATAAACACATGCTCTCCTCAGTGATTGTCCTTCTCTGCCTCATCGCCTACCATTTAGCTACCTGGAAACGAGCACAGGAAAATGTCCAAGTATCACATTTTCTCTTTACAAGGTGCCTTTCAGAAGGAGTGAAGCATTTTGTTCAGGGAATTCCAGCTTCAGTACAATTTGCTCTGCCCATAAGACTTAAGTTTTAAATAAATCTAGTGCACGAGGTTGCTGAAATATGTTGATTTAGAATGGCTGTAAACCAATATCCAGGAGAAGTTGGCAGACTTTCTGAAGATGCAAGGAACTAATTTCTAAAGTTAGGTTTTGAAATTGACTGTCAAATAATCAGGAAAGGAATGAAGAAAAATCTGAAGGAAACATGAAAAATATGTGTAATTCTTTAAAAATGTCTTCTGTGACCATAGACAAATTCACACAATCTGCCTCAACATTGACAAAATACTGTTGCTTTAGAGAGAGCCAAAGGTCATTTTCTGTTTTTGGCAGTAAGGTGAGTTCTTTGCCGCTGTGTTTATCGGGCTGAACACAAATTAATGTATGTTTTTTTGTTTGTTGTTGTTGTTGTTTTTTTTTTTTTTGACACCTAAGAGAAATACTTTTTAGATTGTTATAAATAAAATGATTGTTTTCAATAAAAGCACTGAGATCTGTAGGTAGAGGCGAACCACAGGAAGGCAAAACAAACTTTTACACGTTAGTTTTAAAGCCACAAAACTAAACCTAGTAATAAACCTGTCTTTACGTCTCTTTATTAATATGATTTGTATATACCTATTATATATATATATATATATATGTGTGTGTGTGTGTGTGTGTGTGTGTGTGTGTGTGTATATATATATTCTAACATACAGATTTATAGCTTATATTTACTGTCATTGTGTTCAGGTTAATCTCAGTATAGAGTATTTAAAACTCTTTCATGTGACAGCATTGACTGATAAAATTAATAACACAATGTAAGTGGAAGAGTAATCAATAAATTATGTCCCTCACCTGTTCACTTGTTAAGTAATAAATATTAGTCTGGATATGCAGATATTTTTGTTTAAAGAAATGCTTCTGTTGGATTTGTTTGCATTGCATTGTTTTTGACAGGAGAATCAGGACGATTTCATACAATATGTAAAGGACAGAAGTGACAGAAGGGTTTAGACGTGAAGTGCTTTTTCCTGATTGTAATTTGCATGCGTTTACGCATCGCCAACGAGTGGCACACACCACTTTACAGTGTTGCTCTTCAACCTTTGCTGCACAGCGGTGCGTCACAGTGGGACAACACAGCCCAGGCAGCAGCAGCAACGCTGCATCGATTCTGTGTAAATGTCACACCAAACCCAGTGGAACCGAAGTGAAAGAGAAACAAAGATAAGAGCACGTTTGGAACTGTGTCTTTTCAAGGTGATTCCTGTTTGAATTCTGTTCCTGTTGTTGTGGTCCAAACCCGGTGCATTACACTTGGAATAGACATGGCAGTGCTTGAACTTTTAAATCTGGCTTTTCCTGAAAAATACAATTCAGGTTTGTTTTGTCTTCCTTCTCGAGTTCTAGACAAAAAAAAAAAAAGACAACAACAAAAATGGAACTTGGATCATGTATAAAAACTGATTTCTGTGTCACAGCCCTTTATTCTTGTTCATGTGAAGTCAGGCCTGTGGGGACTTCCACTACCACTATCACTTTCCAGTTGACTGACTGCACAAACACAGTCCACACATTGACGACGTGTCTCTATTTGGACGGAGTCAATGGGAAAGGTTAAAGAATGAGCGAGTCACATGGATTTATACAGGCAGCAGTTACAGTTCACGAGGTCGTGAATCAAAAGCCAAAGTTCACGTCAGAAGTTCATACCAGGGGAAGTTATGCAGCTGACAAGTGCGTCTGCAGAAAGCACTTGAGTGTGACTCGCCGGTGCAGCAGAACAAGTCATTCTAAACGCTCTTCAAAG